AAAGAGAAGCGATGGAGTTCTACAATGGTATCTGGATTATTTCTATGAACAAAATTATTAAGATAAGCAAAAATGGGGCAGTTTGTCAAATAAAAATGACAATAGTGATTAAATGTAAGGACCACAATAAGTGGGTCCATGTAGCTAGACTATCAAATATAGCTATTTTTTTAAAAGGGACTTGCATAAAGCCTGTATACTGATTGATTCAAAGTCACATAATAGAGGAAAATAGCAAAAATCAACATCAAGCAAAAATAAATTATAACATAAAAATGATAAGAGAGCCATGCTTGTTTGAAAATGAAATGTTATAAAAGGTCCAAAAATCCATCAGTCCTTCAAGAAGAAATAAAATACACACGGTTTTCTTTAGAAAATATAATACAAAGCTGCCATAATTTCCAATGCATCATATATCATAGGTGTTTGTTGGTAACATACCAGAGACAGATTAAATAAAAACTCCATTAGGTTTCAACATACTGTAGAAAATGGACAGGTTTTGTTAAATATTACCCTAAAAGAACAAGTACTGAGGGCTTGCAGATTACACAATATAATCATGGCTCCATATATTCTGTGGCATGCTGAACCAAACTTTATATCAAGAGAGTCCATGGCCTTATATTTTGTTGGTACATTGTTATGGGTGTACAAACTCCTGAAAAATGTAGGTTTTCATCTAACCAAGTATTAAAACAATCTATTTTCAATACTATATGAAAAATGGCAGAAACAGTTCTGTTTATTAAAAAAATAATACAGCTATTTTAATGTTACTTAATATTTAATGTAATAAAGCACTTTCAAGAAAACATATAAAACTAGTTATTGCTGTTGAAGAAATGTAATTTTACCACCTAGTGTTAATGTTACCAAGTTGTTTCAGCATGACAGGTGACTGCATGTGAAAGCGAAGTGTTTAGGAACTTGAGTGAACAGCGATGTCAGTTTATTTTAGAATAATCTGTCACTTGATGTTTAGAGACTGTGGCTCTTCTTTGGGGATAGTTTGAGAGCATTTTGGGTAGTGTTTAAGCCTGTGGGACATTGTTTTAATTCTGTGCCTGCTAAATTCCTTTTGGGAAGAGTTTGTTGAAAGAAATGTATCAGCAGTTTTAGCAAATTTTTCTGAATACAGAGAAACTTGAAATATTTGCTTAGGATTTGGAATCTTGATAATAATTTGAAACCACAAAGTAAATGCAGCGTAAAGATGGTGCTAATTATTTTCTGTATTCTGTCATTGTTACAATCTAGAAGAGTCACTTGTTCAAAGGGAGGTTCTGTTTTATTAGAAAAAAGATTCAGTATCTGGAAAATTTACAGTTTAGAAGTGAGTGTTCATTGCTAGTAGCAGTCCTCAAAATGAAAAAAACAGTTTGGAAGTGAGAAGTGTCAGAATAAATTGTGTGCTTTCCTGTTCTGAATCAGGAGTGAGACATTTCCATGGTAATGCCTTACCAAGGCTGTTTTAATGCAGTGGTGGGCAGATTTTGAACTTATATCTTTGACTTGAGAAACTCTGAACTCTGTTATGTTTTTGAAAGCTACACTTAATTATATAGTAATTTCTAATATGATAACTTCAGTAAATGTTCCTGAAAAGATTTCCTCAAATTTTAAGTTCTGGCAGAAATACAAAGTTATATCTAGAAAAAAAACAAACCAAAACAAACCCCCAAAACCTTAAAAACCACACCCCACAAACAAAAAAACCCCCACCACCAAAAAATTCCAAACCAAACTGGCTCTGACACAGCACCAAGCTGTGAATGTGAGCATTTGAAATGGCAAGGGTCAAATTAAGATGAACATCTGGCAGTATTGCACTCGGAAGAAGTTTGGCCATAAAATATAACAGGATTTGATTCTTAACAAATGATAATAATAATAATAAAATCCTTCTCAAGGATTCAGAATGTATTTTATTACTTTCTAATTTTTTTCATAATTTATGCTGTTGCTTGCAGTTTGCTCACTTTGGAAGTGAAACATATATTTGGTTTGGGGTTTTTGGTTCCTAATTATTTTCTACATTCTAAGCAACCTTCAGACATAGACCAGTGAAATTTTTTTGCTACTTTCTCTTCTGTATCAGGATCTACAGAGCTAGATTGTGATGGTGACACACAATTAGAAGCTCAGAGACATAATTTCCATTCTGAAGTACTTTTTTTGGTTAACATTTGTATTCCTTTGACATTGACTTTAGCTAGCTGCATGGTCTTATGAACAGTGGTAGTGTGAATAATTGATTCAGTACACAGAGAGCTTTAACACATTTATTTCTCTAACAGGTATATTTTACCTTTGTAGTTAACCTTCATTGTGCTGAAAGTTTATTACTTAAAAGTGTAATTCCTTTGAAAAGCATTCAACTAAAAAGCTCTAGTGCACCCTATTATATATTTACTTTGTAGATTGGAAGATGTATTTTTAGAGATATTTGAAAAACATTGGATCATGTTGGCTTAAATTGGCATTTTGATTTTCTAAGGGTCTCCTAGCAATACACATTCAGTGCATAACAGAGTTATAGCAAAGGAAATCTATGTATTTTTGATGTGATTTATAAAATCTCTGATTTTGAGAATGGTAACATGGCATTTATTAATTATCAAAACTCTGTTTTGTCACTTCAGAACTTAGTTCATATTGTAACCTAGGAAGGAACCAATTCATTGTCTGGTTACAACCTTGCTGTTGTCTGAAACTATAGTTTTTTTTAGAATGAAAATTTCATTCAATACCATGGCAGTGTTAGAAAGGTGATGAACACTTTGGGAGGTAGTTATTTCTGAAATCCATTTTCCTATAAAATGACGACTAAGAGATAAGGCTGGTAAAAAGTTGAGTAAAAAAATAATGTGATTCTTATTTTTCTAAGTGCTTTGAGAGGAATAAGAATGTTTGATGAATGAAATGTCTTCTTGTATTTGAAAAATGTAACTAAAATAAAGCACCACTTCTTTCTAGCTAAGTAACCTGAAACAAATCACAGTTGTGGACGTGTCAGCAAACAAGTTCCATTCTATTCCAATTTGTGTACTCCGGATGTCTAATTTACAGTGGTTGGATATTAGCAGCAACAACCTGAAAGATCTCCCAGAAGACATAGACAGGTAGCTTATGTTTTAATTCATTAACAAGATTGTGAATTATAAAGCAAATCTAGAAAGTAATGCTTCCAAGGGACACCGTTAATGAAAAATCACATGAAAAAAATCACAGGTGGAAATGCATCAGATATAGTTTTGCATGTAAGCTTTACCACTATTATTGACGGACTATATTGGAGAACAGAAACTACATTTTCTAGATCACTGATGGCAGGTTGCACAGTCAATGACTCTACTGTTCCGCTAACTAATTACATTTTCTGCTGCATTCATGATAATTTGTCATTATATCCATGCATTGTTATTTGGGAAGTTCATGGGGCATACTCTGCCCCAGTTCCAGCAAAGGGGACTCACCGTATGGAGCTGGCAGCAGTATCTCTCTGGAGGGTAAATGGGGTGGAGGAAAAGATGAACTAAAGCATATTTAAGTTACTGAAAGAACATGATCAACTTTGGTAATAAAGCAGAAAAATATTGGTAAGATTAAAAAACCCACTGACAATCCTTCCCTCCCATTCTGAAGTATATATGCCTGTGCCCACATATACTCACTCTCTCAATTTAGAGATCCACTTGAACTAGTTTTAAAAAAAAATCACGCTGATGCCTTTGATGGGACTTACAAGTCTAAGAAAGCACTTTTGTTATTCCTAGGCCTATTTATTCACTCTGGAGTCCTGTTGTAACTTGGTTTACAAAACTTTACTTAGCCATAAGTAAACCAAAACACATATTAACTAAAGTTTATTTAAAAAAAAAAAAAAAAAAAGAAAAAAAAAAGGGAAAAAAGAAAAAAGAAAAAAAGAAAAAAAGAAAATAAAAGAAAAAAAAGAATTGTTTATTGTTCTGGGAATAGAGATCCCTGAGGCAGAAGAAACTTCACAGAAAACTCATTCAGCCTTAACTTTTTGTAAGAATTTTGTGGCTGGGAAAAAGGCTTTTCTGGGATTTTATGTAATCATGGATTTCTCTGATAGCAGGGCTGAAGTCTTAATTTGTAATAGCAATTCACATGCTCTAGCCACAACAGCATAAACCTGCCATTTTTGTCCTAGGGGATCTGAGCAGAGATTTGATGAACTTCAAAGAGCCTCTAAGAGGATATTTTTATTTTATGGAAGGATATCCAATCAACTTAAGGGTCAATTTTTTTCTGTAACCTATATATATTGCTCTATCTCAAAAATATTTCTTCACTATATTTCATCTTCTCCATTTCATACTGAGTTGCCAGCCCCAATACTAAACCATCATGATCAGACACCACAAAATAACATTTTCTCTGTTTGATCTTGGGTTTTGAATTTTGAGATCTCTTGGGCTCATGTGCATTCTGAAGACTAGAAAATGTCAGGAAATCCCAACCCCCTCCCCCAGTGAAGTCATATTCTGATTCAGACTCATGATTTCAATGCCTGCAGTGTCAAAGAACTTCAATGAACTACCATGAAGTCTGTGATTAAAAAAGATGAGTTGGCAGTAAACTGAAGCCTTACTTAATATATTTCCCTAAATTCAAACAAACCATATGGGCTTGATAAGCAACAATCTGCAACAGTGTTTTAGGAATGGACCCTTCTGGTCAAATGAGACAACCTTGTTTCATCAGTTTGCTATGCTTTTTGTCTTCTGTCTATGCCAAGGAGTAAATGCTCAGCCATAAATTACTATTGCATTAGGAAAAGCCAGGGGAAATAAAGCAAAAGAATGCCTTCCTCCACAAAACATTGTCATTAAATTGATTTCAGTGGGACAACTTGCAAGAGCCATATGACCAGGAGCTGGTCTCTCTCTTGCTCCCCACAGTACTAATTACTAGTGAAAACAATAGATGGGAATATACTGTCTAGCACGAACATATCTAGTTCATAGAAACCAGCATATGGGCAAAGGTGTCAGCTGGTCACCCATATTTTTCATTAGTTCCAGGATAAACACGGTGAGGCTTTATATCATATTCTGTCAACATCTTCTGTATGAAAGCACAGTAATTTTTGTAGCCTTTTATCTTGGGCATGCTTCTGAGTACTTGTCAGAGGCATGCTATTAATATCTATAACATTGAACCATCACTGGAAATTTCCATTAAAGTTGATAACAATTTGTGCAAGTATAGTATGAGTAATTTTTGAAAGCCAAAGATGGTGCATGTAATTATTCTTCTTTTACACAAGATTAAGTCTGTAATGCTATTTTGGATAGATGCTCCTATCAAAAATAAAACATTTTAAGTTATCTTTATCTTTTACATTTTACAGGTTAGATCAACTGGAGACACTTCTCCTACAGAAAAACAAGTTGACTTATCTTCCACGAGCTCTGGTCAATATGCCAAAGCTCACTTTGTTAGTTGTCAGTGGTGATGACCTGGTTGAGATACCCACAGCTGTCTGTGAGTCAACCACAGGTTTGAAGTAAGTAAAAGTGTGAGAGAAAAGAATATGGTCTTAAGAAGACAAGGTAGATGCACCTTGTAGAAATACTTCCACAAGCATCAGTTTCTACCATACCTGGTGGTCAAATTCTGACCCAATTTATATCAGAGCCCTTAAGGAGGAACTAGAGAGAATGGAAATTGCAGAGGAGCCACAGCTTTCTGATTTTCATCTGCCAGTTCCCCCATAGCGCATCTACGTGCCTAAACTGCTATTTCTGTGTAGACTTGCTCATAGTAGCTGTAACTCTGGAGTCACAAAGGCATGCCCCAGAGTGGGACCAGTAGTCTAGCAGTTCGCTGTTGATACGCTGATTTCTGTCAAAAGTATGCTGCTAGCAGTGTGAGACTAGTGTCACATGAGTATAGTAGTTCATACATTCTTTGTTGTGAAAGCACCTTGTTGCTGCATGCAGGATAAGACTAAAAGGCCTGTTAGTCTGCTATTGTGATGATCTTGCATTTCTGCAAGTGGCGTTCAGATCTTTGATTATGAAACCATTTGAAACTCTATACTGGGTCTGACTGGGATGGAGTTAGCTTTCCCTATAGCAGCCCTTATAGTGCTGGGCTTTGTATTTGTAGCTGGAATGATGTTGATAACACATCACGGTTTTTGACCACTGTTGAGCAATGCTGCCACAGCATCAATTCTGTCTCTCCAACCCTCCTTCAGAAAGGCCAGTACGCTGAGCAGGAGCAAGAGGTTGGGGGGGGAACATAGCTGGGACAGCTGACTCAAACTGACTAAAGGGATATTCCATACCACGTGACCTCCTGCTCAGCAATAAAAGCTACGAGAAAGGAGAAGGGAGGTGGGTCATTTCTTACTAAGGTGTTTGTCCTCCAAAACAACCTCTGTACATACTGAGTGCCTGCTTCCCAGGAAGTGGCTGGACATTGCCTGTTGATGAGAAGCAGAGAATATTTTTTTTTCTTTGCTTGGCTTCTGCACATGGCTTTTAATTTTCTTTAGTAAGCTGTCTTTATCTCAACCTACGAGTTTTTTAATTTTATATTCTCCTTCTGTCCTGCTGAGGATGGGGAGTGAGTGTTGCATAAAAGGCTGTAAGTCTGATGTGTGGCTGAGGGAGGCCCTCCCGTTGAGTCACGAGGTTCAGACAGGACCCCCTTGCTTTCTAAACTCCTTCTCAGAGAGGAGCCTAGGTGTGGCTAGGTCCAGTCTTAGTCCCAGACTTGGTCAATGGTTTATGTCTAATGGATTATGTGTGTAGCCACGTATCAGAGTCAGCGCTTTGCTGTCGGAGCCCCCAAGGTACTTTCACTGAGGCAGTTTCATAAAGTTGGAGCAGGTTGTTTGTTAAAGCGATGGATATAAAAAGTTCAGAATTGCCATTGATAAACACACTTACTGCAGTAGCACTAGTATATGATGATAGTGCTAGCAAAATGCTATCCTGGGACTGAGGAGGAGTCCCTGTCGTAGGTGGAGGAGAAGGAGCACAGCCTGTCGACTGCCTCTCCTGGGTCTGCAATCTCTTCTCTCCCCTGGGATATTTTTCTCGATGTCCTTTATACCCCAACCTTAGCTGTTCCCCTCCCTGGGGGGACGTTTAACATAATTTGGGTGGAGAATCAAGTACTATAGTCATATATGTTCAGCATGTACTTCTTTCAGCTCATTATCATATTTAGGGGTGTTAACTTCAGTATTCATTTCATAGATAATTGAGCAAAAGGTCTCACTCCGGGTGCTGAGGCCTTCAAAATTCTGTGTTGAAACCGTTCATCTGCTTATTCTACATTCTTTCGACAAAACAGGGCCATCCTGCCGCTGCAAGGCTCCATTCTTCAGTTGTTTCTCATGCCAACCTTGCGGTTCTCCACCTAGTAGGTTTGCTTCAGAGATAAGTGGACATCAGCATTTTCAGTCTCTTATGTTCAATTCTCATAAGTGAGAGAACTGCTGGGTGCCACCTGGCCAGCTGAGGTCAACCGACCACAGACTCACAGAAATTAATGAGATTTTAAAAAGCCATATGATTTATTGGAACATTTGTCCTTTTGAAACTAACAACTTTATTGATTTTTTTTTCCCCCCTCTTGGAGTTCTAATATCATCAGAGATTTTTGGAATCCTGTGCACTTAATTTGCACATTATGTAAGTTGCTTATGTAACCATCTAGGGGTTTTTTCACCTGCAATGTGTAGCTTTAGGAAATCTGCAAATATGACATGATGCACATCCAGTCATGCATTGTAAAAGAGAAGTAACATAACAACCAAAAAATGGAGATACATATTGTCAGCTAAAAGTGATACTGGCAAATTTCCAGATAGCTAGGCAATGTTGAGCAATATGAACTCCTGCTCTTCAACAGATGTGAAATTACAGTGTAGTCTGTCAGAAGTTACATAATAAAAAAATATACTTGTTATTGCAAAGAATAATTTATGTAGATAGGTGAAAAGAAAGAGATAAATCTGATTGTTTTTCTATGGAAAGTGGAGTATAGAGAAGGTGCAATTTGAAATCTTTATTCCTAACAATGCCATAATGCAAAAATTGAGCAAATGTTCTTTACATTTTCCCTTCTGGCTGTAGTAGCAACTTCTAAAATGTGATTCATGTTAGCCAGTGATGTTTGGAAGCCTGTTGCACACATTCTTGTGTTAATCTCTCTCTAGATTCATAAGTCTCAAGGACAGTCCAGTTGAAACTATTGTATGTGAAGACACTGAAGAAATTATAGAAAGTGAACGTGAACGTGAGCAATTTGAGAAAGAGTTTATGAAAGCATACATTGAAGATCTAAAGGAAAGGGGTATGTGTTAACTTGCAGTAAACTTCCTGCTATATATGCAGACATACATTGGGAACAATAATTTTTAAGAGAACAAGCAATATACCCTTAAACTGTAATTTTCTGTCATGATATTAAATAAGACTAAATGTGAAAATGTCAAATGTGTTTTGTTAAAAGTTTGGGTCCTCACTAAAACACTTGATATTGAACAACTGTATACAAAATTAATGATGCATTTGTATAGGCATTAACCTAAATTCAATGATAATGTATGCAATGATTATCCTCATTCTCCAGATATACTTACCTCTCTTGGGATTAACATTAGTGATTTTGAATTCCTGCAGTAGTGCTTCTCCTCCTCAAAAGGAAATACAATGTATATATGAAATGCTTTCTGCATTAATAGAACATTCTTTAACAGTGTATCTGTATAAATGTACTACTTTTTTAGCCACTGTAAAATTGTTGTAGCAAAATCACTGCTTTTGTCTTTATTGCACACCACCTGAAAGTTTACATATTACTTTATTTTGCTATTTTGTCTTATATTTACTGTAATTAAGTAACTGTCTCTTGAGTCTTGTTTAGTAAAACGTGTAGAAAACAGAGGGAAAATTTCCTGTGAGCCAAAATACCCCACAGGCTCTGTTTAAATCTCTTTGAGAGTTTGTGTGTAGAAATGAATTTTTGTGGAATGAATCTTATGGTACATTTTCATTCCTTGCATTTCATGTAAATGATGTCTGCAGTGGTCCTACAAGACCCAGTAAAAGAGAAATGTAAAGAAAAGCCACAAGATATGGCTGCAGAACACTTTTCATGTTCTGATACTGGACTTTTGTTCCTTAGTGTACATAAGCTGCACACTTGAGTGTTCAAGCCATCTGCTTCTAAAGTGAAGTCTGCTGTAGAAGTGCCACATTCTGACAATGGCAGCAACAGTGGTTAAAAAGGAGAAAGAATGGAGGAAAAACTGAGCTCATATTTTGATTTTTAGAGATACTCATGAAATATGTAGTGATGGAGTTGTATTTACATACTTGTGAAATGTGGAGTCTGAGATAATGTCTGCCAAGCTGCCTGAAACCTGCATTTGATCCTGGCAGACATAGGCTAGCTTTATATTCCTTTGGGACAAAGCAGCTCAAGGATATGCTTTTCTGCCTTCCTAGACAAAACTTATCTCCATGCTTTTTATGATGAGCTTGGATCATTAATCACTCTTTGATTTCCTGTTCCTGAACTCTTGTGTTAGAGATTATGCCAATACCTGCTTTTGAAAAGCAGACTGAAGAAGGAATAGCATCTGTATAATATGAACCAGCAGAATTTCTGAAAGACAGAACAGAGATCACTTGCAGAGTACCTTTGAAATAAAACCAAACCAAGCTCTTTCTAGCTAAGAGCTCCATTTATGTGTGCTGGATTACATAGCTGAAGTCTGAGACGTATTTCTTTTTTCTCTTTTCACAGATTCTACTCCTTCCTACACTACGAAAGTATTATTTAGTCTTCAACTTTGAAGATCAAAAATCTCTAAATCACTGGCGAATATCAAAATAACTCTATTTTTATCCACCTAAATAGAAAACACTGGAAACCATAAATAGCCAGAAGCACTTCAAAATCATCATGAATTTTTTGTTACTGTAGTTGCTCCCAGCAATTGCAGATAAAACAAAAAGCAGCAGTCTTCAGAAGATGCTGTCTCACCTTTTAAATCGGCATATTTATTTTCAAGTCCACAGCAACAGCCACTAATTTACATATAGACCTTCTGAAAGTAAATATTCACTGTAATAAAGTATACACAGGCATAGATGCCCTCAGGATGAAGACACTGTACGTTGTAGTTGAAACAGTGGAATCATCATCTTAAAAAGAAAATTGATTTTATAGAGGGGAAGGATTAATTCAGAAAATGAATATGACCTGCTGTATTCTTAAGACCAAATAACATATTTAGTTCTTTGCGATATTTAAAATGAGAACACATGCATAGCTGTTCGCATTAACTCTCTGTTTTTCAAGGAAATTGTCCTCCTTAGGATTTTCAGATTAGATAAGTTTCAAGAACTTTATATTTAGAAACCGTAGCAATTCTGCTGTTTTTTTCAAGCATATTATAAGCTTTTACCTGTTCACAAAGTCAAGTACCAACGTCACTGAAACTTCTATGCTAAGCAGTCTTATAATATAGCAGTGTATTCAATAAGATTTTAAGGACTAAGCAGCGTGAACAAATACTATCAAAATGATGATAAAGGTCTTCTAGTAATGGTTTCAGATTACAGGATTTTGTGGACATTTATTGGAATTTTCCAAGTTATATAAGAATGAATTTCTGGATAAAAACTGATGTTGCTTGCTATTTAATAATCAGTTTATATATAATTATGTACATGTATATACTGTAGAGTTTCAGAAATCTAGTTTTACATATAATTTTTGTTTAATAAATCAATACTTTTTAATCTAAAAAGACTTGAGACTTTGAGAATTTAGACTGAAATTAGAGAATTTACATAGTCCTAAACTTATGAGTGCCGTTAGGAGATATCATATTTACACATTGCTTTTTTATTATGCATCAGCTATGTCCAGTCTTGTGCAGTAGAAAGCCACTTAAGTCAGTCATGTTTAAAAAGCAAAGCAACTAAGGATGTGCTTCTCAAGACTTTGATAAAAAATACTCCTTTCAATGTTTTTTTTTTGGGGGTTTTTTTTGTTTAAAATTTTTAGCATTCATGCTTTTGAAAAAAGAGAGCTTGTAAATACTAGGTATGTTATCTATTCCAGTCACAAGCTCCTGTAGTTATATTGCTATCCAAAATGAAAACCTCCCAAGTTGGTCTCTAAGTGTTAATGCTGATTTTAAGCAAGTCCTGGAACAAAGAGAAAGTTTCAAAAAGACTCCAAGAAAACTTGACATTGAGCTGAAACAGCATAATGGAAGATCTGATTTTTTTTTTTTTTTTTAATTACAAAGATATTGAAATATGATAAAATAGTTGCAATCAAAGTGGGCTTATAGCAATCAGGCTGTCTGAAACTACCCTACCAAACTTTCTTCTAGTGAAATTATAAATTTGGTTGATTAGGTATTCATATTGATGTAATAAACTTCTGTAAGACATCTGATTTGGCATTGCTGGAAATTCTATTTCTAGAATTCTACTGTAGTCTAATATGATCCGCTGAAAATCATACGAATGGAAATCACAACCGCTATGTTTATAGAATGGAGATGTCCATTATGGGAGTTGTAATGTAATTAACTAAACGAAAGTTCCCAGTGCAAATTCTAGTGTCAGAATTGTTGGACAGAAGGTACTTGGATAGAGTTGTATTAATTCTTGCTTAGCATTGCTGCTAATCTTACTTGAAAGATTTCTGCTGTTCACAGATAAGAATGATGCAGATAAACTGGGGAACATTCAGAAGAAAACCAATTGCATAAATAGAAAACATGCATTTTTAAGTTCATTGAACAGTGAACAAGTCCATTTGTTTGTCAATGTTTATCACTAAAAAATCACAGTCTAGAAACAGGATTTTTTACTGCAACAGACAAACAAGGTGGAAGACTATTAAAAAAAAGGCCTGTTTTCAGTAAGAGTAAGCATGGGACAACTTAGAAAACTCTGATAAATTCTCAGTCACTAGCAATCTTTCAGTCCAGGTTAACATTTTCCTTAAAAAATTGTTGTAACAATTAAGCCACAGAAAATGCAAGATCAGTTGTATACAGGGGTCAAACTAGTGTTCCCCAACTTGACTTTGGATCTCTGTGAATCTAATTTTCATAGAATCACAGAGTGGTTTCAATTGGAAGGGACCTTCAAAGATCACCTAGTGCCAACCCGTCTGACAAAGGCAGGGACATCTTTCACTGGATCAGGTTTTTCAAAGTCCTGTCCAATCTGACCTTGACTTTTCCCATGATGGAGCATCCACAACTTCTCTGGGCAACCTGTGCCTGTGCCTCACCACCCTCACAGTAAAGAATTTTTTCCTTATATCTAATTTAAATCTACCCTGCTTCAGCTTAAAGCCATTGCCCCTTGTCCGATCACTACATGTCCTCATCAACAGTCCCTCTCCAGCTTTCTTGTAGGCCCCCTTCAGGTACTGGAAGGCTGCTATAAGGTCTCCCTGGAGCCTTCTCTTCTCCAGGCTGAACAACACCAACTCTCTCAGCCTGTCGTCATAGGAGAGGTGCTCCAGCCCTCTGATCAGCTTTGTGGCCTCCTCTGGACTTGCTCCAATAACTCAATGTCTTTCTTGTACTGGGGACCCCAGAGCTGAATGCTGGACTCCAGGTGGGATTTCATGAGAGCAGAGTAGAGGGGGACAATCACCTCCCTCGACCTTTTGATGCACCCAAGGTACAGTTGGCTTTCTGGGTTGCAAATGCGCATTACTGGCTCATGTCCAATTTTTCATCCACCAGTATCCCCAAACACTTCCCTGCAGGGCTGAAAGCTTTTATTCCCAGTTCTTGTAGAACATCACTTCCTAAAATCTTATCCACAGAAAGAAAGGATTATTTTTGTCACAGAACTTGTCAAGTACCTCTGTTTAAAGGGAAGATGGTGTGCATGTACAGCTGTCTCCATTACACCTAAGAAGTCCAGTGGGTAGTGTCAGCTATAACTGAAAGTCCTAATTTCAAATAACTGCATTTGAGTTCTACTTCTATGTCCTGTACAATGAAAATACTGTGAAAACATACTTATCACATGCTGTTAAATATAATTTTATTAGTGTCATCCATTGCAGTACAAAATCTGTGTCAAAAGACATCTCATTTTGAATTTGCTCTAATTTTTATTTTTTAGCTTGGTTTACTAGTAAATTTGTTTTAAACAATTATCTCTCACCAAAAAACAACACTTCCACAGAAGACAATTCTGTTGTTGACATGTTACATACTTTTTCAATTTTTAAAAGTGAATAATTTCGTGACTGAAAGGAATTGTGTGTACTAATGGCAATTTATGTTATTTTTAAGCTTCTGATGTCAGATGCTTAGATACCTGAAGGAAAGCAATGTGATTTTTCTTCTGACATGCAAAATCAGCATGCATGTGTTATGTACAGCATTTTTATTGGCTATGACTAGCTGCCAAATACTACACTTCCTAAAACTCAATGCTTTCCTTCTGCTTTGCAAGTAGCCACTATCCAAAAGCAGCAAGACTGGGAGCAATTGAAATACGTGTTACAGAATACTCACTGTCTCAATGTGCAAAAGTAAATCAGATAATTACTTTTCATTGTGTCCCCTTTCCACATTCTAAATTGTTTTGGCCTTGTTTTTAAGAATAGCAAAGTATAAGCTAGGAAGATAAATTTTTAATGAAAGTAAATAACCTGAAAAATAATTAATGAGAATAACATAGTCTTGCATCAGATATTGGTTTAAAATTTACAGTTAACATTGGACAATATCTTTCCCCCTCCCACCTCACCCTTGAACATTTACACACCATCAGAACTGTTTTATTGTGTTTATTTTCTGCAAAGGAAGCACCAAGCAAAATGAAAAACAGGGAATGCTCTTTTCTTGATGATGTGATTTGATTTCAGTAGCTGCCAGGTCCTGGTCTGTGGAGGATTTCTGTGCAGATTAGCTCCTACTTCCTAGAGGATGGGAGGAGATTGGAAAGTTTTGGGGTTTTTTTTCTGATTTTGAGGCCTCATTTGAACTAGTCCTAATAAACAGAAGAACTGTAACAGCATAAAATCTGGTTAACCCTTCTATATGTTGCGCAGTTCAGGAAGAGTGTCCTCTCTTTTCAACAGCTGAATCTGTTACTTGGGCTGATTCTAGCTGTGATTATATTCTATTCTACAGCTCACTCTCGTCTTCACTTCACTGGTTCATTAACAGCTATGGGTGTTGCTTAGTGTAAATAAGGGATCTGCACAATGTTTTCATTACCTGCCGACTGGCATTCATATGAAAAGATCATTGCTATCTCTTACCTCTCCCTGGAACTTTCTGTTTTCTTGTTGGCAACTGCAACATAACTACTTGAGGTTCAGCAAAATCTTAGTAAAGATGCATTTTATATCTAAAAAGCAATTACATTTTAAACATATTGCCTCTGCTGTGTTCAGAGCTTCTATTTTCCACTAATGCTTGCAGCTTTTTCCTAAAATCAACAGTGACATTTATAAAGTAATTAAATTAGCTGTCAAAACATGGTGAATAGATCTGTAAGGAAGGATATCAGCTAGAGAACTGAAAATCAGTTTTAGGCTATACAAGAGCAATGTTTGAATTCAGATTTACATATATACAACATAACATTTTCTTTTTCGTTCATTACACAGGTCCAGACAAGTTGAAGGCCCTGTGTATTGTGTAATGACATAAAATAATATGTTTAGGAAAAAAACAGTTACACTGTAGGGCCTTAAGCTGGTAAATACATGTGGTGCTCATCTGAGCTACTGAAGCTGCTGTCTGTGCCTGGGACGTGTCAGATTTTTTGTGTGTAGACTAGTTGCAGTG